AGTAAAAAGCAAAAAAAACGATAAAAGTGTTGGGCCAGTCCACTAGACCGGATGGTCCATTTAGAGACCTGGTACACCATGCAGTAAGCGATCACCACATTATTTTGCATAAGCAGATTATATGCACTAAGTTCCACTTTGGAAGAAAAACCTTACATGAGACACTTTTTATTCGATAGGTGGAAAAAGTACCTGAAATGAAGCCATTTTTCCAGTTTGAGTTCTGTTGGACACAAGGAACGGATTAAAGGAAACTGAATTTGCGTAATTGGGTCTTTAACGCATAGTTATTTAAGCTACTCTTCGTCTACGTAGTTACTTTCTTCGAAGAAATGAAATCATTTATTCAAGTAGACTAGAATACTCTTCAAGCGAACAAATTGGATACTCGATTAAAATCGTTCCTTTTTACTGGCACAGTGCGGTTAGAGACGCTTCTTCATTATTGATGGCTTATTCAAGTGTATGCTACTCTTTCGGAAAGAACCTAATTTGAGAAATTTGTGAAAAATTAATATTAACGAGTGTTAAAGAATTATTATACATTTTTTTTTCTCAAGTATGCTTGCAATAGATATATTCAACAAATAAAGTACAGCTTGTGCAGAAACTGTTGATCACATTTGGCTAGATTTTTATTAAAACACTGTTTTGTCACTGCTGATTCTCCGTGGAACAATGATCATGACCAACTCGATAACTTTGCCACAAAAGATCGACAAATCGAACGAATTCAGATCATGCATAGCACACTGAGCTTTGTAACATGTAAAATAGCTTCTTGCCGGTGCGCTTTTGGGCTGAAATGTGAAAGTTGCATGTCTTCTCTAGCCTCATTATACTAATACAAAATACGCAAAACTGAAAAATCTCCACAAGGCGATGGTTCGTTTCTAACGATAATCGATTGTCAGCTCACCCTGTGTCTTTTTTTATTTCTACATTTAGAGGAAATTTTTTCTTTTGTTAGGTTTCTCTCTTTATTTGTCTTGCTGCTATTCGCTTGGTTTTTATTTTCGTTTTCTTATGCCATTTTCATAATTGATTATTATTAATCTAACCATGAATTTAATGGACAAATCAGCCTGCTGTACACATTCATTATATCTACAGCAGATCTTAACGTTCTATTATGTATTTCGATGAACTCAGAAAGACTGATGTAGATTGTCCCCAATAGTTAAAACTTAATCAGTTCACGCTTTTCTGTTGGCCATATGCTAGTTGTGTGAAATCAAAACATCATCCTTGATATCTATCATATAATCGTTTATCGGCACAAAACTCAGAAACTGCGTTATTTAGAACAATAAAAGCGTATTTCAGCCATTTAAATTTCAAGGAAGGTTCAGGTATGTTCTAGAATTTTCTATGCTCTGTTATTAATATTGTTTAGTGCTTTTTTCCGTTGCTTAGGTTTGTAATGGAGAGAGTTGGGGGGGGGGACGGAGGCGGGAGCCACAAAATTCTACTTAAAACTTACACTCACTGTTTTGTTCGAAAATATATTTGAGTCTCACAGAAGTCAACTGGATGCGGACTCGTCCGAAAATCATAAATAAGCGGTACAGATCTGAAATTAATCGAAGTTTAATAGATACCAATTTGCGATAAGACTCTCCTAACACGTGTTGGTGTAAGATCGTATTGCCCATGTCTTGCAAAAGCGTTTGAATGCTTATGCCAGATCATGGTAGAGATTTTTTCGACACAGAACTATGTGCAAAAAGCATGACACCATATTTCCAAGCATAGACCGAAACGAGTCAGAAAAATCAAGACTCAACTCGATTTCGGTCTATGTTGCAATGGAGCTAGTATGTGGTACTGACATATAGAGGATGAAAAACAACCCAAGTGAGCTAACGGCGAGCTAAATTTCGAGCCTTTTTTCTAGTCATGTCGATCTGACATGTCTAGTCTTTTCTTCAATAAGTCGTCATCCAGGACTAGTCTGAAGTCTGCTGCGTACTTGAACCTCATCCCGACAGCCATTGACGAGCGCCATTGCACATGTATAGTCTAGTCTTTTCCTACAGAAGGATCGATCCAGGACTAATTGAGGGTCGGGTAGATATTACATTACTATTCAAAATGCAGATTATTCCTTGGCGGGAACTTTTTGAAACAGAGAATAGACAGATCGAGTCGACATGTCGTCAGTCAGAATATGGTTTGAAACTGAGAAAGGAAGACCATCAAGGACAGCTCATAGGCCGTACTGTAGCGAGATGTACTGAACTGCCCGTCCCTCCTCCAGAGTAAAAACCCATGGCTTCTATTAAGAAAATTCACAACGCTCCTACAAAGGTGGCCTTCTATTGTGGGCTAATTTTTTGCTAGGATTTACCTAGAAAGCCAAGGGTTTTGAAAAAGTTTTCTGGCATTCAAACAGGCACTTTTAGCAGTCAAGTACCGTAAAACCATCTTTTTGTACTGGGGAAAAAAGTGATTTTTTTTTTACAAAACCATGTTTTTTTACTTAAAACACCCACTAGATTTCTAAAAATAGCTTCTGGAAATCCTATGAGCTTCTATTATGTCTTGTGAAATTTTTCTTGGGGATGGTCTTCTAATATGAGTCGGCGTTTTATTCTGGGGAAGGGGGTTAGTCTAAATCGAAATATATAAGGCGATGAAGAAAATTATGAAAATAATACACCGAAAAATACTTATTCTACAAAGACTATTTTTACAAATAATCTGGCTTGTATATAGAGAACTCGTATTTGCCTTTTTTAATCTACCCAAAAAAGTATTAGTTAGCCAAATGTATAATTTTCTGCAGCGCATTGATTATTCTGATTGTCAGTCTATCTTCGTTTGCTATCACGTTTTGCTCCTGGCTACCGTATTCACACATGATTTCCACATTTCAGTTCCATCAGTGGCGAAGCTGATAAGATCCTTAAATTGTGCGTGTTCTGCTAAGTTTGTGCTCTTGTTAGATATTGTTCAACTATTCAGATGATAAACTTACGGTCTTCTAGGGCAGTGGACGACGAGAAATTACGAAAACATTAGCGGCATCCGCGACTTTCGTAAAGAAAAATTGTATATGATCGTATGTGGTCGTGTGAAGCTCTAATAAGATCATTTATGACGCTCTTTTACTGCGATGCACTTTCGTGTTTGACGAAAACATGACCGTAAATGAAACGGCAGATAACGGGAGAGATTTCGATTGCATTCTGTTGTAAAATATTATGCATACTTCTATACAACGATAATCATAAAGCCGAGTGCTGTTATCATGTTTAAGAACTCAATGATATACGCCATGAAACGTTTTTTATCACTGTTAGGATATATTTGCGAGTTTATTTCAAAGAATAGCAAAACCAGTAATACAAAATAACGATCAACGAAGATAAACGAATAACTTGAGAATCACAACGAACAACAAAAGAACGAAACTGAAAAAAGTAAACAAAACTATATCAATCGATATATACAGTAAAACCTCTATTAATGAACACCTCCGGTTTGAACAGATGTTTCAGTCCCCCCGATCGATTTTTGCCGTAAATAGACCTTCGCAAGATGAACACCTCCCAACTCTGAACAATGAACGCTTTTTTCGATCCTTTTTGTAGAAAAAACCTCTGTATAGTGAACATACAGTGACGAACTATGCGTCCATGTATGAAATAAGGAGATAAAAAAATAGACTGTGCATAATAAAGCGATAATAAGTCAATTTTTGTCGGCCAATTCATCATAACAAGCTTTGTCGTGTGTATGGAACAAACAGAACAATGAAAAAGAATAGTCCGCGATGAGTTAATCGATTCTGTGTGAGAGAATAACGCACATTTCTATCTTCGATTGTAAAATGGCGACAAAACACACATTAACTTTATCTGAAAAAGCGCAATTATTTCGTGAAAATCAAGAGAACGCTTCATATCGTATACTTGCTGAGAAGTACAAAATCTCGATCGGCAGCGTATCAAATATCATCAAACGCAAGGCAGAATATATAGAAAGTTACGAACAAAATGAGAAATCAACCAAGAAGCGCAACTTTCGAGATGAATTTAATCAAGAGCTCGATCAAAAAGTTTACGAATAGTTCGTCATTCAACGTAGTAAGAACATTCCTATTTCAGATCCACTCATACAGGAACAAGCTCGGCAAATTCGTCAACAACTGGGTGGAGCAAATACTGATGAGTTCCAGGCTAGTAATGGCTGGCTCGAAAAATATAGAATACGTCACGGCATACAATATCGAATCATATATGGAGAATCTGCAGCAGTGGACATTGCAACCGTTGACGAATGGCGAAATCGACTTTCATCAATAATTGATAAATACGATCCCAATGACATTTACAATGCTGACGAAACTGGTTTATTTTTCAAAGCTTTACCTAATCGTTCGCTCGTCATGGACAAAAAACTTGCAAGGGTGGAAAACGATCGAAAGAACGTTTCACCGTTCTTCTCTGCACGAACATGACAGGTACAGACAAGTTACAGCCATTTCTTATCGGTAAGCTTTCAACCCTAGATTCAATCAAAACTAATTATCCTTATCTATATTTTGTTCTAGGCAAAGCGGCGACACCTCGCTGTTTCAGAAATTTGAATATCAAACAATTACCTGTCACATGGCGATGGAATCGTACGAGTTGGATGACTGCTACTCTGTTCGATGAATGGCTTACAAGTATAAACAACAGCATGATCAAGCAAAAGCGCACAATCTTGTTATTCATCGACCATGCTCCTTGTCATAATTCCGATGCTCAGTATTCCAACATCGCTCTTAAATTTTTTCCTCAAATACAACTTCGAAGCGGCAGCCGCTTGACCAGGGCATTATCAAGAATTTCAAGTGTTACTATCGTGAGTAATACGACTAATTTTTATTTTGCTAAACAGCATCATCTATTCGTTTAGGTCAGTAGCTTGTTAAGCATGTAATATCACGGTGTGTCGTCGCCAGTTCACCTGACGATATTGTCATTAAAGCTCTCGATGCGGTGCATGGGATGAAAAGCGCTTGGCAAGTTGTTTCTCAAACGACAATTTACAATACATTTCGTACGGCGGGTTTCGTCTATCCAAACACTCAAGGTGAGACCAGTACTACAATGAACAATAATGGTGATAATGATTTCGACGATGAAATCACTACTGACGACGTCTCAACAGCTTTACAAAATTTAGATACACTTCTTGCTCATATCAACATCGGCGGACATTGTCTTACTGCTAATGAATTTATCGAAATCGATTCAGAAACTCCAGCTTTCAACGATTGGAACGATATCAATGACGATCTGATCGTCGTCGATGAAGACTGTAGTGGGAACATAACCACGGATAACAATGAAGATGGCGACATGCCAAGTGAAACACCATCTAAACTCACCGAAGCAATGAAAATGGTTTGATGACTACATATTCTAGCTGCTACTCAACAACCACAATTGCATTCACTTATTTCGCAATTGGATTCACAACTTACCCGACTTTTCATCGACTCGAAAATAATAGATAAAAATACTTTTTTGGCTCTTTTTGTTTTAAATTGAATAGATGTTTAATAATTTAAAGATAAAAAATATTCTTTTAACTTTGTTACATGATAATTGAATAAATATGCGTAATAGCTGAAAAAGATACTTTATATTTGGCATTAACCGTAATAGATTTTAATATAAAAGGTGCATAGTTATCATTCGTCTACTAACCATACACTGTATACATGTAAAACTTCATTCAATGTGAAACCTCCATAAGATGAACACCTCCTTTAATGAACACTTTTTAAAAAGTCCCGTTAGTGTTCATCTTAGAGAGGTTTTACTGCATTATTAATGCTTACACAGCTTTTTCATAAGCCCAGCGTTCTTGGAAATATCAAGCAAATCCAAACAAGAAATATTTATACAAAGAGATCAAACGGAACATTGATACAATGAACGGCAGAACCGTGGAATAGGTCGCAGGGAAAGCATCATCATTGATCATCGAGATGTATTTTCAAAAGGAAACTCGTATGAATACTCCTCAACTTACTTCAACTACTAGCGAACGAAGTTCAGCATCTTCCTTTAGGCTTACTGAAAGACTTGTGAAAACGATGAAAAATGTCAAGATGCGACTCTAGTTAAACGATGTCAAGAAAATAAAAAGCTGTGGAATGGTCGAATGAAAGGACGAATGCCTTTTATCAAAGAACGGTGACACATAATGCCTTAAAAATAGGCAACAAGTTTCTTTTACAATAAATCATGCCGAATAATATATCGAATGAAGGCGAACACTGAGATCGATATTCTGGTACTACGTTCATTCGATCTCTATCAAATTCGGCACACGAAGAGTCATTGACAAAATGTCGTCTTTCACAATGACTAATCTCACTAATGTATCTTTACACCAAGAATCAATGGAATCTGAACCCTATATGACAAAAGTGGGTGTTCTTCCATCTAGCGTACACTGGCATCAACACCCACACCATTTCGTCGAAAAACTCGCCTCAGGTCTTCCTACAAGGATCAGTCAAAATATAAAATCGATAAAAAAAGGCTTTTGCACAATGAAATATCATTTTTTGAACTCATCTGATGTTAGAAAAAAGAACATTACATTGATCTGCTAAGTTTCAACAATACTTAATCGATTGTACTTTTTCGCTGATCCTCGTGGAGAATCATGGGGAGAATCTTTTGATGAAAATCAATTTTCGAAAAAAGACTTGAAATAAACATGGCTGACTCAATTTGTGATCCCGATTCTCAATTTATTTTATTATTTTTGGCATAAAATGACAAATCAAAAGACAATATTTTCTAGTATTGCTGAAGTGGCCAATGTTTTTTAAATTGAAAAGCCATGCAGCTTTGTAGCTTTTGAAAAGTACTCTTCACCGATGTGCACCGTAAAAGTGCTCGCATACGATCTTTAATAAAAAAATTTGTCAGGATTAAACGATGACCCACTCATAAACACTATCCTGAAGTCGATATGTTCTAGTCGAGCGAGTGAGATGGCACTGTTCAACGATGCATTATACATGCAGCTAAAGCTTTCACAAAGGCTAACTTATCATATAGGATTCAAATTTCATTGATTCTTGGTGCCCTAACCACTAAAGATACATTAGTGAGAATAGTCATTGTGAAAGGTGACATTTCACTAACACCTGTTCATCTGTTGAATTTCATAGGAATCAAGTGTAATTCGTACCAGCATGCCAATCTAATTAAGTGTGCACTTTCATCCGATATACTTTATTCAAAGCTTTTTGAATGCGCTAACAGTACAGCCGATTTAGTGTAGATATCGAATTTCAGGTTCTCCATCAAAACATACTTAAAATTCTGAATTCAATTCATATTTGTTTCATTTCTCTCCATGACTTTCAAGCAGACCGAAATATGAACAAACATGTTGTCCATATATTTCTGCACCATACTGTATTTAACAATTTCTCACTAAACCCAAATACATATGCTTCATCGAAACACAATAAGAAAATCGTCCGTTCTTTAAAACTTGAGCTTGAAAAACATCCGACAGAACAATCTTAATATCAGCTAGGATTCTTCTTAAAATCCCTAGAATGAAAAAATGAAACGTTGAGCGATATTCGAAAAAACTTCTGCAATAATCATTGTTAGGTTCCCTTTTTTATTCTTCAAAAATCAACATGAACCTAATCCTTTAATAAAAACAAAAAAAACAACTGACTAGAGAAAAGAAAAAGAAAAAAAGATGATATGGAAAATAAGAAGGAGGATCGATCATCTATATATATATGTATATATAGATGTCGGATCCTAACACCTCCCCCCACACAAAAAGTTATACGAACATCTCTAACAGCAATATCTGTTCGTATAACTGCGAAGACGGTTACATAATACGATCACAAAGAATATAAAGTCAGATATAAACTTGAAAATGAGAAAAAGACAAAAAAAAATAAACAAATGAATACCATAAATGGAAAAAAATCAAAAATAGATTAACCGGTAAATAGATAGTTATAAAGAAAACAAACAGACAATGTAACATATTGATAACTTGTTGATTACCTCGATATGGAACCTATTGTGTTGGAATTTGTTGTTTAATAATTCTCATTGAACGTGAATAAATAGGAGATGGTTTTGAAGAAGAATGGGAAAGTCGTTTTAATTCTTGAGTACCAACATTGCAATACATATTAACACGATTGCGATCAATTATTCGATTATAAGTTTGCCTTTGATCTATATTAGTTTGTGAATTTTGATACCAATTAGATAAGGTTCTTGTAAAATATGGAAAATAATCGTTTGACTTGTCAAATGTATAAATAGCCTTAGGCTTTTCTGATGGTAAATCAGTTTGATGACGACTAGCATTAAAATCCTGACATTTTGAACAAGATTGAATATAATTCTTAATAGTTGTTTTCATATCTGGGCACCAGTATTTATGTTTTAATTTAAAATAAGTTCTACGAAAACCAGAATGATCAGCCCATGGTACAACATGATAAGCCTTTAATAATTCGGGCAAAATTGTAGAGGGTATATAAATCAATTTTTGTATAAATGTATTATGTTTAAATAATTTGTATAAAATTCCATCATTAAGTATATAAGAACAATTAGTTTGACCCCTTTTGAGTTCCAGAACTTTTTCTTGATATAATTTATCACCTTTTTGAGCTTTACTAATAGTGAAAACATTAAACGCATGACCAACCACTTTCTGTGGTTGATCATCTGTTGATGATGTTGTAGCAGAAGTAGGATTAATATCAACTAATTTATGTGGATTAGTTTTTTCTTTTGCTTGAGTTGTATTTATAACTGCACTAGTAATGTGAGGACTAACAGCAACACCGACAATAATATTTCGTTTTAAATAACATACTTTAGAAGTTGGATTATAAATTGAAATCCACGCCACATGATTCATAACTGAAATTGATGAATATGGACTAATTAAACCTTTTTTATAAATAAGATGATAAGCAGGAGAAAATAGCAGTTGTCCAGACGACATTTGTGTAGAAATTTTAATTCGTTTTTCTTGATATGGATAAATACATGTTGGATTAATTAATCGACATGACATTCTAATACTGCCAGCTTGATCCTCCATTGGAATCGTGATCTTATTGTTAAATGTATGAATTTGAATTTGTTTGTCTTTATTATTAAGATTAACCTTGTATTTATTAATATAATCCATTCCTAAAATGCAATCAGCACTTAAAGAATTAACAACTCTTACCACGATACTTGTTTTCATTTGATTGAATTCAATAAAAATTTTTACAGTACCAATTACGTCAAAGGTTGTATAACCATCTGCCATTAAATAATGTTGTTGAGTGAACCTAATCGGTAAATGTGTTGTTTGTTTTAATGCTGCTTTACTAATAAAAGATGTTGTTGCACCAGAATCAAACATAACTTTCATTGAAACTTGATTAACATTTGCAAGAATAAATATTGGTGATGGAGTTTTAATTAATTCATAGGAGTCATTACCATCATTCAACGACTCCCTCATTGAAAATGTGGACAATTACGAAAATAATGATCATTAGCACCACAATTATAACATTGATAAGGTCGTGTACGTGTAGAATTACAATATTGTTGTTGTGTTGTTATGGCAGCAACATGTCGTTCAGACGAAGTATTGTTACTATAATTAGTGTTATAATATGAATTGTTATAACTTGTTTGTCCAGATGGAAACGATTCAGTGTCTTGTTGTTCATTTAATCCTTTAAGTTCTTCAATCTTTTGAGCATATTCCAAAAGTTCTGTTGTTGTTTGTGGATTTTTTAGTAAGACATCAAAACGTAATGAAGGTTTTAAACCATCCTTCAAGTATTGTAATTTACTAGCATCGTCCATTGATGGATTTGCTTCTTTACATAATTTCATAATATCAAAATAATATTGTCGTACGTCTTGATTGATACTTNTACGCATGGAACTACCCTGCGAAATCGATTACGAAAATTTATGTATTCAGTTTTGTCGATGTATTTTACCACTACTTATAGCTAGATAGCTGAAACTTTCAGCAATAAAAGATCTGGATCAGATGCATATGTGATAAAAATTTCAACCTGCTACGTCGAGTAAAACTATGAAAAATACGAATAAAAAATTATCCTCAGTTATTATGGGACACCCTTTATATCGTTTGAAAGTATACACTTAATTGTCTGTCTAGATTCATTCTATCACTTGATAATATTTGTTCAAAATTAGAAGAAAATGACTGAAGTATTTGTAACAGTAAGCTGATATTGAATTACGGAGAATTTTGGGACGCATCTTTTGATAATCAACTGGCGTCTTGACAATGAAAAGTGAACAAGACATAAACAAAATTCGTAGATCCTTATTTGTTCTGAACCAACTGTTAGATAACAATGGTCTTTCCTATTTTAGAATTGTTTATCTATGATCAGGAAACCAATTGAACCAGCTAATAATTCCAAACAAAAATCATGGTTTTTCATTCACCCATTGCCGATTAATTTTTTGTGTTTTTTAAGATAACAAACAGATTAGAATAAAAACTTATTTTCGTTTTCTAAAATAATTCTCGATTTGTGCTATGACTAAAATATAAAACTTGAGGAATCTGCTATATAAGTACATAAGAAACCATAGCATGTCAATTACAGATCATTTAGTTATTCACAAGAGAAGGGCGTCGATATGCCTGCTGTACGTCTGAAAGTTACATATGATGGGGGAATTCGAATTTGCGGCAAATTCATTATATAGAGGTAGAGAAGCATCTTGAAGATGAGGAAGGTACCCTTGGGGAACAACAAAGTGAGGGTGAAGAGGGTACCCTTGAGGGACAACAAAGTGAGGGTGAGAAGGGTACTCTTGAGGGACACCCTTGGGAGGATACCCTTGAGGGAACCCTTGGCGGAGTACCCTTGGCGGGGTACCCTTGAGGGAACCCTCCCAAGGGTACCCTTGGTGGCTGTACTCTTGAGAGCTACCCTTGGGGGTGGGGCGCCCTTGAGGGTGCCCTTGAAAAGGTACTCTGAAGGTGGTATCTTTGAAGGGCTACTCTTAAGGTGGCTGTACCCTTCGGTAGGAGATTTCTTTGTCTTTAAAGAAGCTATAGAGATACAGCGGTATAAGGATACTTATACCGCTATAGCGGTATAGTGGTATAGCGGTATAAGCATTTTGAATTTGCCGCAAATTCAAATTCCCCATGAACTCGAAAGTTAGGTTGGTCGGGTCGAAATCGTACACTTTTCTTGCAACGCACTTCAACATTCATTAACTAGTGTTTGAATCTGAGAAAACTACCTCCATTGGATAATATAGATATTCTTTGAATTTGACATCGTCGATGGTACATGATTATTTTCAAGAGATGCTGTTTCTCATGTAACGACTAAATATTAATACATGGGTGTATCAGAGCTGCCATTGTAGTCATCAATATTGAAATACTACCAATGTTGATAATGAATTTCAATATCATTTTTATTTTGAATATATTTATTTGGGAGAAGGAACAACATGTTTATAGTGTTTGTTCGAAAATAATTCAGATATACATGAATATTAGAGCAGGTACTTCTTGGAACTTATTAAATTAAAAAGAACAAGTGTAAAAAAATGATCCGAATAATGATTAGTTTCCATTTTTGTAGATAACGTTTTTATAAAGTTACCTTACTTGAACCAAACTTCTTTAACTATTCCTGTTCTATTTTCTCGGAAAATCAAGAAGATTAAACCAATTGATTATATGATTCATTGTTATACATTTTATTCTTGGAATACTTCTCTTTTTGTCTCTCCCTCTCTCTCTTCTGTTTGTTTTTCTACATTCGAGTTTAATCGCAAGTTGTACTGCAGAAATCTTCACATACGATGTGCACTTACCATCAGGCCACACATAACCTAACATATTTCGGTTGCCTGTTTCGTTAAATTGAAGATTTTGATTTTGAGGCCATTTGATCCAAATATCGACTTTTTGCCCTTCCGTATAAACAGAATAGTTTGCCTCTTCAGAATCAATAGCTGGATCCAGAATAGTGATGAATTTCATTCCTTGACGATGCAGCCAATCTACATATTCAGGTAAACCATTGAAATTAACTGGATCCCAAGTGAAATCGAGCCTCTTTCGAAAATAATCGATGTCGCCGTACCTTGAATGAAGGAAAACACATAGATCTAAGCCAACAGTAAATAATAATTTTCATATTTACATAACATCAAGAGGAATACTAGCATTGAGTGTTCTCATCATGGCTGCTTTCATATTATCTAGTGTATTATAACCATATCGGCAAAGTTGAAATCCAAGTGCCCAGTAAGGTGGCATGTAAGAATTGCCGATTACTGTTTGATATTGTCGAATGACATCTTCCGGACGAGATCCAGCAAAAAAGAAAATATCTAATATACCACCCACAGTTCGATAAGTTAACATAGCTTGATCATCATCGAATTCATCGAATTTATAATCTTGTGCATTCGAATTCAAAATAAATACACCAAAGGCTTGTCCGTCAGGTTCGATAACCATATAAAATGGGTGAGTACCATACAAATTTGCATTTCCTCCTCCCGGTGGTTGATCGCGTGTAAACATACCATAGCGAGATGATCCCTTCAAAACATGTCGAAAGCTTAAATGAGTATTTTCGCCAAAACCTACGGAAAAGAACGATCATTCAAATTTCATTGTCTATCATTATTTACCATAGATATTTCTGGATGGAATTGTTGTTATTATTTGAATGAATTTGTCATCATAGATGAAGCCATTGGCAAAGAATGATGTATCAAATAGAATTAATTGTGTATTTGTACGTTGAATTCGAAATCCGACTTGTCCATGGGGAGTTTTAGTTATTTCGAATTTGATTTTAAGTGAAGAAGACGTTGATGGTGCCGATGGTTGCCAAATAATTGGAACTGGAACTTCATACCGTTTTGCATGTGCATTGCGTATTGTCATACGAATCTTATCAGAACCTGAGAGGCTGACTTGAACATTTAAATCATGAATATCCCTACCGAACATAGAAAACTCATTTATTCCAGTCTTCTTAATTTGATTTGTCAATAAATGTTTATAAATTAGCTCAGCATATGGGAGCGATCGAATTTGAGCAGGTTTGACCGATAGACGACTGAGTGTATAAATTGTTATAACATCTGAGAGTTGATTTGGTGGTTCTGTTAAATTATAGCCACCTTTTTCTATTGGAATATAGCATGAAGAAATATTTGTTGTCGTATTTAAATCCCACGTGCAGCCACGAGCTGCACATAATTGATTTGTTATTGTCAAAGCAGTTTGATTTGGTGATCGATCGATCATACAAAATGATTTGTATTGATCAAAATCAGGATAGCAATCGATACGATATTTGGGATCAATAGTAATAATTTCAGGTGGTTCAACAACAACTATATCTGGATATTGCCATGTGATCAAGTGATTTGCATTCATTGCCAATTTTAAATCATGAATTTCGATAATTTGTTTTCGACTTTGTATTGATGGACGTAATTCATTCCCATCAACATTAATGCCGACCAGTATTCTATCTAAGCCGTATATCATTATTGAATTCAATGTTAAATTTGACATGTGAGCGTAATTACTTTCAATAATATTGATGAATAATTGACGATCATTTGTTGACCATTTATATGTTGCATAGTAATAGGTTTTGGAGTTGATGGTATCAATAGATTCACCATCATCATAAAATAGATCACCTTCAGCATTTCCGTTTGAATCGAGTACAATTATCAGACCAAATGGATTTTCTCTATTGATGAAGAAAATATTGAAATGTTTGACTGAAACCAGAAAAGTGAATCTTCTAGTTTTGGTCACAAATTATAGCAAACACAAGGACAAAAGTAGATTTTAGATCTTGAGACTTCACGAGGCGTTAGGATCTGTTCTCTCCATTGGCTAAACCTATCAATTTAGCAAAGGAAAAGATAAACCTACGGAATTGCTGTTGTTTTTTTAAATATTTGAAATGAATTTTTGAATTCGAAATCTACCAGAATCTCTAAAAATTCGTAAGATTCTGCCATATTACTCTTGTCATCCAGTGATCGATCGCAGTATAGATTTTCATTTACAATCTGACTGTGCCCCTTGTATTTTACATTTTCATCTTTTTTATATTCTACTGAACGATTTTCTTTTGTAGTAGAAAAAAAATATGCTGGGAAAAATCGATAACATAAAATAACGAAAAGCTGAACTTCTCTTCATTGTTTACCTTGAATACTTTGTGTTATTTGCGTATTCTTGCGTTGGTAAAATGGCTCCACCCCTTAACAAAATTGGAATCGTATCTAAAGGTGCATTCATTGAAATAAATTTTCGTTGGCTAGCGATGCGTACACCTGTGTAAAAATTATACCAATACAATGATGGAATATAAACTAGAATTTGTCGTGCTCCATTATCAGTTACTGGTGCTATCATGAGATGAGATCCAATAAGAAATTGAAGATATAAATCGAGTGTTGTTTTATCCGTTGGATATTCATGAAACAATGGTCGAATGACTGTTGAACCTTGTGTGTGTGCTCTGTAGAAAAGTGTATAATAATATGGAAGCAAAGTATAACGAATACGAAGAGCAGAAGCCATGATAGACACGGCTGATGGAGACCATGATGCTGGATCTTGATCTGGTGTTTTCCAAACATTATGCTAAAATAGAAGAAGAAGAAGATATTCACGTATTTGAATGTTAATCTATATTAAATCTACATTTCGAGAATATGGATAGAAGGCACCAACTTGCATCCAACTAGAGCAAACGAGTAATAATTGAGTTTTGAAAAGTAAACAAAAATGAAAAATGACATAGAATTATTACCGAATGCACATTTCTTCACTTGGTGTTTTATCGAATCCGCAAATATCGGCACCATTAAATGGGATGCCAAACCAATTGAATTCAATCATACCGATTAATGATCGTTTCATTTCATGCCATGTTGCTTCATTATCTCCGAGCCAGTGACCACTCCATTGACCAGAACCAATAAAAGTCGAGCGGGGCAAAACTAAACTTCGTTTACCGGTTATTGCTTGCATGGCATCTAAGGTCGGCTTTGTTTGACTCCATCCGTACAAACTAGTAGTATTAGAACGTCGCTATCAATAAAAACACGACACATTATTTTTATTTTATACCTGTGTACATCATAATGAAGATATTTGGATTGGTTAGTTATCGAATCGGTCTCACCCTGTCGAACTGACATACACATGGTACGATCAGAAAGACGGCTAGCTCTATTTAAGTTGATATCGTAGCGAAAAACAGCTTTAGTTCGATAAGGAGGATCTTCCCATTGATTGCTTGGACATTTTAGTGTATAATTACTGCCAGTTTGTATCGAATTCCATGGGATTTCATTGTTAGTATCAAACACGGCTGTTCAAGAATAAAACATAGTATTTTAATCACGTGTTGCTGATATTATTCCTCGAATCATAGCAAGCATATTCATACCTGGTTCATTCATATCAATCCAAAGTCCATCAAAACTTAGATTGACGCGTCGAAAATCATTGATCCAGCGTGACCACCATACTTGAGCTTGATTCGTAAAGAAATCTGGGTAGAACATAAAAATACCAATGAGTATTCTATATAAAAATCTACTATACAAAATATACGAAGCTTTTAGACAATCGACGGATGAAATGATGCAGAACAGAGTCTCCCAAAAGCCCTCCGAAGAAAAAAGAAACCATAGGTAACTTTGAAATATTTCAGACGTCATTCAAAAGATCTTTATGATTTTATTCAACACTAATTAAAGGTTTATCCTTCCATAGATTTTTTGGTATGTTGTTCGAAAATGATATTAATGAGTTGAATAACAGAAGTTTATCGCTTTCAAATAATTGAAAGCAAAAAAAATCAATATAGTATTCTTTTATATCATGTTATTTTCTTTATTGATTCTTAGGATAAATTGAACCCAATGTCGAGTCGACATCATCGGAACACTGATCCTCTATTGTTTGCATAAAGGAAATAGCTTAGCTACGTTATCAGACTGTAAAGAAGTCTCATATTGTTGTCATGGACTCTATCTACTTCTTCCATATATCATCCCTGCCAATATTCTTATCGATTTGATGGAATATCAATTTTAAAAGTTTGCCCGTTGATAAACCAATGTCGATTAGAGAGTTTAAAGGTACAGAAATTTATCTGAAATGTATTGAAGAAAACTTTGATTCAATATGGACTAAGATAAATAAAAGAATCATGACGATCGTATCAATTGCTGAAGACTTGTTCGCATTTCATTTTGAAATAACTTGTAAAACAATCTGTATAATCCGATGTAGGTTTCTCACCTTAGTGTTATGAGACAAAATACCTACTGAAAAGACTGCTACCATTTCAGAAAATTCATTATCAAAAGTATGATATATGTTTTCAACAGTTTTATATCACCAAAAGGAAAGCATTGGTAAAGTGTTCTCTCAAGGAACGATACTGCTCTTATTTGTATCAATTTTAGTGTTGAAATTATATATAAGATTTCTTTCTATTTTGAAAGTTTATGGCGTAATCCTTGCAAGATTAAAGCGTGGGAGACGATGGATTTATTTCGTTCGAACATAACTGAGAAATTCTTCCCCATGTTCTTCCTAATATCTGATTGGCATAAAAAAAAACTTTATTGCGCTTCCCAAAAATGATACGGTAACATACGTTACAAAAGTATTTGGAAAAATGTCACAAAGTATTTTTCAACAGTGAAACGTCGGATTAATCTCAATTTTTAGTTTTGTTTGAAACAGTGAAGTCTGGATAATGAAACACATCGACATAGAGGCAGCATTTTCTCTCTCTTTATTATAATAAAACTGAGACATAGAGTAATGGTCAAAATGTGTTTGCAACTTGATTTTTTGTTATTTTCGGTCATTCAGTCTACAGTGTGGTCTGCGTCAAAGTTTAAACAAAATATAGCTACAAAAAGAACTTCACAAGCTCACAAAAATTTTCTATTTGTAGTTTAGTTTTGGCTATGCTGTTCATTAGAAAATTCATTTTTTGTAATGTCCCTTCTGCTAAAATATAGATTTCAGTTTTAAAAAAGTGAAATCGAAATACAGTTTTCTAGAGTGTATACAATGGTATATTTTGTTTGAAACTTATAAGCGTATTCTCAGCATTATTTGCCAAAAAAACGTTGCCAGGTGGTGCAAGGCTTCGTTTTAAAATCAATGGAAAGTATATCGTTGTGCAGTACAAATTCATTATATTAACAGTATTTGCTAGACTTGATTATAGTCTAGCTTTGTTCGGTCAAATAAAAACAGTTGAAGACAATTCGACATTCCACTGCTGAAAAATAAGTTTTGATATTTTTCCCAAGACTTTTTAACGTATGCTTTACTATGGAAAAACAATAAAAGTCATTTTCAAAGCGTCAATTGGCTTTCGTATCTAGAGGAATGAGTAATAATAATCGTGGTTAACCCTATTTCCTAAACGCTTTTAGTTAATGAGATATCATTCACGAAGTCACAACATAGTTGAAACAAATTGGAATTGAAAGTGAAACATCATCTAGGTATCGTTTTCTCAAATAAAAAAAAAACTTTCATTATGAAACAGAATTCAATTCGAAAAATTATCCAATTACAAATATAATTATCTATTATTATATCATTCAAATAAAATTGCACTAGGCCGCCGCTGATGTATCACGGTACAAAGATTAAATGCCTTATATTCAAGAAAGTAGTCTGATCAAATTCTACTATCGTAAATATATTCATTGATTGATCATATAAATAATCTTAAAGGAATTGTTATGGAGTGTCCATGTTATGTCGTTGTGTTGGAATGAAGTTAAGCCCTCCCCTAAAAAAAGTCAATTTTCGTCAAAAATTCCGAAATTTGAGATAAATACATGGGGAGATAGCCCGTCATCTGCTCTTTCATAAACGATAATGTGTTTTTCTTGTTACTTCATTTTTCCCAAAAAAACTTCAAGATTTCCGTCAACCCCTATTCGAAAAACCAGCTGTTTTTTGAAAAATCAAAAAATCTTTTTCGTTCTTTCTCTGTTTCTGCTTTCTCAAAAGTGCATCCCAAATTTCTCCTTCCTAGTTCGTTCAATATATTAATATTGTTTTTTTGTTTAAAAGAGCATCTCAAGGCACAGAGCATGACGTGGCCCTTTTTTTAAAATTAGGCCTTTGTTTGGTCAATATACAGCCAGCTATATGATTTTGCTACCATTTTTTGACACTTTTTGAGTAATTCAACCTGTGATCCATTTTTTTCGCTTAAAAAGGGACTATTTCAAAAAAATTGCCACGTCATGCTTTGCGTCTTGAGATGCTCGTTACAACAAAAAAATATTAATATATTGAACGAATCAGGGCCGAGAAATTTGGGATGCCAAATGAGTCATTTTTTATCCTTGTTTGGCTTATATCTCGCTGAAACCTGAAGATTTCGGGCTGAAAATTTTATGGTAGTCTCTCCTTTCTGGTCCCAACATACTCTGAAAGTTTCATCTAACTTGGATGTTCCTGGGCTGAGATCGATTTTTGAGGGGGGGGGGGGGGGGGGGGGGGCGTAAAGGGAGAAAAAAAAAAAAACGAAAGACTAGTTAAAAACTTTTTTTTTATATGTNAGCATCAACTTTATTTCAACAAAGTACAATAGAAATATTTTCACATACACATATTAAATCTTTCTGCCAATTTGGTACATTTTTATATGAAATACGTGATGTTACATCAAACGTAATTATTGCACATTAACCACCAATATAATAACCATCACGAAGACCTGAAGAAAAAGATTTGTTAATAGAAATTCTTGAAATTTTTATTCTTACCGCCAAATATTTCTTGACCAGCTGTATCTCATACATTGTGAATAATAAAAACACGATTAGTTTGAAATGCAAGTGGATACACTTCAATACTAATTGTAGCATTATATCTTTCTTCAAATTCACCAATCAAATGCCGTTTGACGAATGTTGTTTTTCCTAGAAATGATGAATGAACATTTTCGTCAATAAAAGCTACAGATCGACACCACTATCTCCAACTAATACAAGTTTAAATTGAGGTGGACATTGAGTCATTACTTTGTTTTTATTAATAATAAAATAAAGAAGTTAAATGCACGAATGAGTTGTGAAGAATAGAAAGCTAAAATGAAACTGAAGTGTTACAATACGAAGAAATATATCTGAAGCTATTTATCAAGTCTTGCGCAATAATTTCTAATGAAACAAAATACATATCTCTCTCTCCAATTCCAATCTGCAATCATAGATATAATATGCAGTTTTACGCATTAAATGCGTTCGTTTTGTCGGCGTTACTTAAAAAAGGAAAATGATATTAAAGTCAATTACAACAGTCATGTATAGTTTCTTTAGCGAGTCATCGAACTTCAGTCTTCATTTTACTTCTTATCTTACAACATTTCAGAAGTCCAATTGTAATGTCAATAACAGCAACAGAGCTAATCAAATGGCATTGTCTTTATGATGTAAAATACAGAGTGAGCCATAAAAAACTTATTCACTTACAAAAATAATAATTTGTACACTACTAACAGTCAATTTTCGAACTAATACCTGTTGTAATATGTACAGGTGAGAAAAAGCTACTTATTTTGAAAACGTTCCATTGCAGATGAAGGCACAAAAACGAAATTTGGTAAAAATGAACTTTGTTTCGGATCAAAAACATCTTTGCAATTTCTTTTATTTTTTATTTTTGTAACACTTGATAAATACGATAACAAAACAGTATAATGACTTGAAATTTTCAGACTATATAGAAATGGAGTTTACAGCGCATGGGTACCTTCCTGTTTTTTTACCCATTTCTGGTTCTCGAAGAGGGTATAACAGATCAACATGACATTTTTACCACACATAAAACACCTAAAATCAGGAGACACGTGTTTGAGAAAAAAAAAGAATTCAAATAAGAATTTTGCAGGAGTTTTCTTGGAAACTCTGCTTTTTCGTAGGTTCACATCAGGCCTGCTTACGATCTTCGTCAAACATTGTCCGATAGGGCAGAAATTTCGACGAAAGATACTTGAAAGTATTATCCAGAGATGAAACTGGCTGTTTTCATTCTTCACCTCCCTATCCAGATTTATAGAGTCTTGGACGCTAGTATCCCAGCTTTGGATCAGAGTTTTTGCTTATTTCTCTCATAAAAAGAGCAGAGTCAGATTTTTGAAAAAAATTTACAACCATATCTATCATACAATCTAAAGTATCTCGAAAAATATTTTTAGTCTAATCAGATAAAGTTTGTCGCGAGTCATAAGCGAACCCTCTGTGCTCCTCTAAAAAAAACATTCTTTACGAAAAAAATTGCGAAAATTTTGTTTAAAATTTTTTCGCCTAATAAGCGTCTTCTTGCTTTAAGTGCTCTATCTGTGGTACATATTTCATGTAAATCCTTCATGTCCTCTTCGAGAATCAGAAATGACCAAAAAGAGGAGGGAAAAGTATTCTTAAGTACACTTGTAAATTATTTTGAATAATTGCTAGTATGCTACTTGTATTAAAATCTTTGTGCAATAGTAGTGTTGCATATATTTTCATAAGGTCATGTACCATACTAATTTGGTTATTTCATTATTTGAAATCATTCTAATTATGCTCGACTATATGTCGTAAATAAAGTGTTTCAATAGCTACAACAATGTGGATAAATTATTGGTAAATCTTGATTTCAGAGTGAGAGATAAAGTACAATATAATCAAGAGGCATGTAACAATAATTTCTATCAAACTTGAATAATTTTATGAAAGCAAAACGTTTTTGAAAACAATTCCCTTCAAGTTATAATATTTTTACTTAAAGAGTATACTAATACTAATAGATCTATAGCTACACGAAAGATCAAGTCAAAGTTCGTGTTATTCAGAGATTTTGTCTTTGTTTCTCAGTGAGGGTAGATCATTCTAGTAGGAATTTCATATGTAATAATTATGGCCCATCCGATATCTTTGACCAGCAAAGTTTAATAAAAGAAAATCGTGAACACAACGCTCAAAAACCAAGGTCTGACGATTATATACAAAAATATTATGAGTTTGTTAATGAGAACAAAAAAAGAAAAAGAAAGAAATAGATTAACATATAAAGAATAATAATTTCACTCATATACACAAAAGTAATGTTTTTGATGTCTTTATACCTCTCTCTCTCTCTTAGAGTAAATTCTAAAAATGAATACTAAAGTAATACTAAATGTTCTAAAATAAAAGTATTCATTGTAGAGAAATTCTATTTACAATTATGAAATATAGATACAGAAAGAGGTATTAATTGTATAGAAAGAGCATTATGTTGTATTCACTAGCGAAAGAAAATTAAAAACATTCACACGACTATTAAAAAAAAAAAGGAATTTATAAAATTGTACAACACACTCGATGTTTATTAGTTGAAAGTTTTTGTTTATCACCTATATTTGTTGAATTTTCATTATTAGATTTTCGTTGACGTTGTTGATGTTTAATAAGTGAATATTTCAATGTTGATAATACTGAATGTGGTGATGATAAAACATGACCATTACCTATATTAACATGTTCTATTGTTGGAATAATTACATCAGACTTTGTTACATCATTACCAATCATTGTCGTGACAGATGACATTATATTTTTATTTGGTTTTGATATTAATGGTGATGAAGTATCTTCTTCAACAATACTTGGTGTTTGGATATGTTCTTGATGTGATAATGTTAATGGTAAACGATGATTTTCATTTACACTTCGTATTGCATCATTTGTATCTTGATGTTGTTTTTGTTGTAATAAACGTATAAAATTTGGTGCATCTGTTTTGGTAAATACAATTGATTCACGTGGTGTTGAATGACGTAAAGATGTTCGTGATGCAATTGATATTTGTGATGGATTTGCAAAACGATGTTCATTTGATAAACTACGTGTACGATCATTAATTAATATTGAACTATTTGAAATTGATGTATCCGTATGCATATCATCATTCATATTAATTAATGTAAAACGATTCGTTGAAATAATTGAACTAGTTCGTGAAAAACTTTTTCGTTTCATATTTTCACTATTATTTGGTAGAATTATTTGTTGTTGAATATTTGTTGGAATTTCATGTGAAATATGTTCAATATTACTTAATGATCGGCCACGATAATTAATTATAGTTTCAGATTCATGAAAAGAGTTTGGTGAACGTATATGTTTTTGATTAGTTGAATGATTTATATCATAATTACTTCCATTATCTTCACTATCAGAACTAGAACAACTACGAGACAAATTTCGACGTTTAATTTCGACGGCAGAACGTAAATCTTTTGAACGAAGAATATTACTAGTTGTTGTAGAATTTTCTATAAGAGTAGTTGGATTCGATACAGATAATTTATCATCTTCATGTTCTTTAAAATAAAAAATAAAAAGATCAAATGTTTTTTCACGATTTCCACGGAAATTCAATTAAGTACTAGAATAGAAGATATAGGATGTGTGTTGTCACCTGGGTTCGTGACACATCTCCCATATCTCATGTGCTAATACTTAATTAACCTTTCGGGGATACCCATAGAAAATATCATCATACGATGAAAAAACAAAGAGATTAACAAATGAAATATTTATATTTACCATTTTCAACAATTTTATTGAGCTTTGGAAGGTTGATTAATTGTTGAATACTTGTATCTGGTGCACTACAAATAAAGTAAAGATAATGTTCATGAAAAAAGATATAAATAAAAAAAAGAAAAAGTAAGTCAATAGATTTTTGTTTTAATCAAAGAACGTTGAGAGTAACTTTCTTTTTTTCATGATAATATTTACATTGAGAATTGAACAAAAGACTTGTTTATGTTCTTTTGTATATTATTCTTCTTTTTTCATTTCATGCATATGTTGATACAAATCGATCAAATCAAATAATGAAAGGATAAGTTTTTGTGTTTAGGTTTAGAAAAATGTTTGATCTCTATCTTTATGTCTAGCATCTATAGGAAATTTTATTTATTCTTCCGAAAAATTTTATATAAAGAATAAGACAGATTAAATTGCCCGTTTTTGATCGACAGTTCCCTAAAATTGGGTTCGATTAGAATTTCTTTCTTTAGATGTTTAAATATAGTATTAGTCAGTGCAGTACGAGAGTACAATGTCATTATTCTTTATTGAAAACATTTTTAGTGTTATTGAAACTCAACATAATCAAGTATGCCAACAAAGGTTTAAATAATGTTCTATTATTTTAGAAGAGTTCCATATAATGATGCCTAACTATCAGTTTTCAGTGCCTTTTCATGTAGAAAAGAGTATCTTAAATTTACCAGTCACTGAGAAAAATAAACTAACTCTTATCAATATGATCATTTTGTAGACCTTGAAATTCTAAGTCCCTTGATACAAAAAAGAATAGTTTCTCAATACCCAATCTTGCAGAAAATTGATAAAGAAAAGTGTGATTCTGTGAATGATAAATTTCTGTTTGATTTTTTCCAAGAAAGATGAAGCTATTTATCAAAACCAAGATGTCACTAAATAGAGCACATAACTTAAATATCGTTTGATATCAGAGCAAAGAATTCTAATAGAATCTAATTTGCGAAAACAGTCGATGGGAAACTGACAGTTTAACATGCATGATTCAATGTTTCATTTGATAATAATGCTAGTCTATTGCCTCTCGTTGGCATAAAGCCTAATGAGATTAACATCGGATCAAACTGAGAATATACAGATATAGTCGAAAACAATTCATTTTCTCCCTCTATAAAACATTTTAAGGGTCGATCGAAATTCTATTAAAATCGTTCAGTTTTGTATCATCTTATTGTTTGTACAAATGAACAAATCAATCGAAAACTCATCTTTCCTTTTTTTTCATTTGAATTTGCTTGTTCTGTTAAATATATAGTTACAGATAGCAGCATTGAATGTCTTCTTATACAAGCCATTTACTCTTTCTAAGAGGAAGATTATGAATCTTTCCAAATTAGTTTTCAGATACCCCTACTTTTCGTCCCATTCACATTTCATCTCATAACTCTACAAGGATCAATCGCTACAGTTATTCAAAACCAAATACTTATTATTGTGTTTAGTTAATCATCGAGATTTAATAAGATCAATGAAAAATGAATGGATGTCTTTTCTACTTTCTACACATAATGGAAATTGATTTTCATTTTTTACTTGATCAAGTGCATTGGCAGTTTTTATCATATTGAACATTTTCGCACAATAGTCTAAAGAAATGAATACAATTAAGGTGCTAAAGAGTTCTTGAGGAAATTCAATGATATATTTTTCAGGAAATTTCCACACTCAACATTAGGTAACAGAAGAAAACGTTTATTTTATTGTGAAGATCAAAAATTTAAGTAAACCGAAATTTATCTTGCACTTATGGAATCCCTATGCACAGATTATAAAAGACTTGCCGCGATCGAGTAATGCCACCAATGGAGAACATTCTGAATTCAACAGCTGTGTATCAATCAAAGATTCTTCTATTACTAAACTTGCTAAATGTATCTTAGATGCACAACCTAGATTCGAGATCGATATTATATGACTTGATGTAGATAAATAGTCAAAGAAATAAAAAACGCTTATGCAATTAAAAGTATCGAGGAAGATTTAACTCGGTTTACTATGAACCTGAAAATAAGTACTTAAACTTGGTAAAAGAAACTTTATCTCATTTTGCTATAATGAAAATGAATGGTCATCTAGTTTTCAATTTTAATCGTTTCAGTATTTTGCATTTTAATGCTTGCCAGCAAAGGATAGAACCGCATAGCGGTCATTTTTGAGTCATCCTTAGTATCTCTTCATTCACAGTTTATCTACTCGAATTTCATTTAAATAATTTTTTTAACTTTTCCACCGACTTTTTACCGGTTTCCATTGAAAAAAGTGGGCATTGTGTTAAAACGAATAACATATTTGAGATCAGTATAAAAAACTGACTTGACTTGAATCTATTTCGAAGTTTTTCGACCGACTTTTTTTCTTGAAAAACATTAGCTGGACTTCCTCGGGATCCAGTCAAATTATGAATTTAGTTAGAGAATCAATTGATCAATGGAAAACAAGCTCTGAATCTATAAAACGTCACTAGGAGACAAAAAAGCAAATGACTAACTAGTCACATTGATATTTTTATTAAATCCACTTTTGGACTGAACTCTGCAAGATCCCAGTTGAATTTTTTTGAGGAAAACAAAAGTTTGTCAAAAAACTCCGAAACATATATAAGTCGATTCAGTTTTTTATGCTGGTTCCAAATGTGTTATTCATTTTGGCTTAATGCAACGCCTACTTTTTCAATCAAAATCTATTGAAAATCGGTGGAAAAATGGTCTACGTGAAATTCAACTTGTTTTCTTTAACAAAGGCTGTTTATTAAAAGATCGATAAATATTTGATTTTGTAAAGCCACACTTCCATGTAAAAATTGTGCGTTTATAGTGCAAACGTGAGTATCATTAATTTGAGCAAAAATAGGTTTGAATCCTTCAGAAACCGCTTTATTATATTACTGAACAATTTTTATGAAATTCTGTATTAAATAAACCATTTATGAGCGGAAACTGACCTATGTGTCACTGTCCTGTTTCTTATAAATCTTACTCTGTCGGTGGTGATTCTGGATTTTCATCTTCTTCAAGTATAATTTTCATAGCTTGTGCTGGTGTTGTTGCTATATTTGTACTAGTTGTACGCTGTTGTAACAATAGTATTTCTTCATCATCTTCAACTAGGGCTAAAAGGAAAAAGAACCACAATTCACCGAAATAGAATCACAAATAAAATAGCTTTATAAATATTGCTATATATGCATAATCATTAACTGCCTTTTTTTTGTATAATCGTTCATGTTTTAACAAGCAGTGGTTTATTTTGAAAACAAAAAAGAAAATTTTAAAGAAAAAAAAAACCCTAATTGTAATAGTGTAGAAAGAAAAAAGAAAAGCAAGTGCAACTATTTATCAATAGCAGCGCGCACCTTCATTCAAATACAACAAATATTGTACTGGATGATATTCAACTTATTGTAAATAAAACTTGAACAACTGACAAAAAGAAAATGAAACTTTCGATGAAATTTCATCTTTAGCTTTATCATTTAAAGAAAATTAATAAAAGAAATAAAAGAAAATACCTGATAAAATTTGTTCAGTGACAGAATCAATTGAATGTTTTGGAGTCATCAGTATTGGTGGTATATTTTCTTTTCCAAAACTATAAATAAAAGATATATATATATATATATATATTAGTCATTAAAATAAAGATTTCGATTAATATCAGCATTATTGTCTTTTATTCCCTAGCATAAATTCTTACACATCATCTAAATTCTCATCCATAGAATTTCCTCTTGATATTGGTAAAGAAACATCAGCAAAATTAAAACTAAATTTTTTTCTTGTTGTGTTTTTTTTTTTGAATAAAAATAATTCATTATGCTTACTGTAATGTTGAGGATATAAATACATTAGTTTGTTCTTTAAATGGATCATGTGCAGGCTGTAAGGAACATTTATGTCGTTTAACATTTCGATTTTCATTGTCAAATTTAGCATGTAAAATTTTTTCAGCAAGAAGATAATATGTTGCTGTTATATAATTATATTCCTTCTCATTTAAAGATTTTAATATTGTGTCTTTTTCGGCTATATCTCCATCAATCATTTGACGAAGAATAAATTCATGATCATCTTGTGATATTAATCGTAATGAATCAATATGATGTTGTTCACTATCATTACCATCATCTTCATATTGTCGATACCATATATCAGACATAACTTCATCAAGTGTTGCACGTTTTTCTGGTTCACGTACAATCATTCGATGAATTAAACTATTTAAATTAAATTAAATGAATATTAACAGATGAACAGAAAATTTTCAGACAAAGTATTTTTTTAATTTTCGACTGATGTAGAGGAACAACAGAACTTTTAAAACATTGGGTTGAAATGTGAATTTTGCGGTTTTTCCAAACCTAAATTTGGAATTTTCTTTAGGCTCATATTTTAGAAATTATGAAGAAATATTTGAAAAGAATGAAAATAAATTTTGGACGAAGACAGTTGCACGAACAAATCCATAGATAAAGAATGCGATAGTATTCGGTTTGAAATAGGTTTCATTAGTTTTTTGTTTTCAGCAATTTTTCTTGTGAGAGAAAGTTTCCAATTGACAAATCGCTTTTAAGCTGGGACTATATTGAATCGATAGGACCTAGTGAGTAGGTGAATATTGTCAAGTGGTTCGAACTGGTAGACCTGTGGTATTGACATAGCGAAAGCAAAATTATACATTTGAATTGTGACCTGAAACTTTGCCCCACATAAAGGCATCAATTAGGCTAGTTTGTAGAGAAAAAAATCAGAATTCTTAGACTAAGTCTTTCCAAGATACGAGTTTTTCAAATCATAGACGATTCATATCTTGGAGAGATTTAGTCAAAAACTTCTGATTGTTTTTCTACAAACTAATTAGTTTAATTGGTACCTCTATATGGGCAATGTTTCGGGTCAAAATTTCAAAGTATGATTTTGCTTGAAAACTGGAGCGCTGAAGGAAAAACCCACTAAAAACTCGATATATCTGCAGCAATGCACATTAGCAAATTAGACTATTCTTAAGTATTTACCTACTCAATAGGCTTTATCGATTGAATCTAGTAGCAACCTAAAATTGATTTATCACTTGAAGACCTCTACTCGTTAGTAATTCTGACGTATAGATGTCCATTCTGTGTAAGTCTCATTTCCTTTCGTGTGATTGCATCAGATGTTTTAAAATTTCTACTGATCCTCTGGATTGGTCGACAAATCAAAGAATATTTTGTCTTAAAACTTTCGGCCCATCGGTTACAAACAAATAAAAAGAAAACAAACTCAAATCAATTACTTTTGACACTCGAAAGAAATATGTGATGGAACTTTATAAGAACAATCGAGTATCATCATCACTGTTTCGGAATCATTGGCTTCTTGGAATGGTGCACGACCAGTTACAAGCATAAATAATATTACACCCAAACTCCATATATCTAAATTCAGATTTGTATCATTGAAAAAGAAAAGAATTATCTATTTTGTACACTCACCAACTGCTGGTGCGTCATATGGATCACCTAGTAGAATTTCAGGCGCTGAATATGCAAGAGATCCACAGCTCGTTAACAATTTTTTACCAGGTGAAAATAGATTAGAAAAACCTTTAATAAAAAGAAATATATTATTGAACTATCTTCAAAGAAAATCAATTTTTACCGAAGTCAGTTAATTTAACAATGCCTTGTTTCTCGAAGAAAACTAAATTTTCCGGCTAAAAGCAAATAAAATGCAAAAATTAAATATAAGAATCTTATCGAGAAAGCTTCTCTCCTTGAAACAGAATATCTATTAAGTCGTTTGGAATAATTACTTAAAGTAAAGTGAAGGATTCTTATTTCTTATTCGAGTAAAAGATAAATAAGTCTTGTTCAAGTAAATCTAAATCAAGCCCAGTCTGAAATGTTTATTCTCGAAATTCATAATTCTGCTATGGATTCATTTTTCTTAAACAAAAAATATAATGTTATCTATCAACATAATATTATAAAGAGTGTCCCAGAAGTTCTGAAACGATTTTAAGAATTCACCGTTCTCGCATTCTACAAAAGCAAATTCGCTGAAACTTTGGTAGATTGTTGTACATATCTGGTACTACATAACTACAAAATTTCAGGTCTATAGCTTGTACTATGGATGAGAGTCTAGAACAACACTGACATGTACTATTTTTAAAATTTTCCTNCTTTTCACGGCGCATCTTTTAAGAAAAAATTCAAGATTTTATCATCTACCAAAGCCGAGATATAGACATTTTGACAGACCCAGAATACAGGAAAATTTCGAAAATAGTACATGACAGTGTTGTTCTAGGCTCTCATCCATAGTACAAGCAATAGACCTGAAACTTTGCAGTTATGTAGTACCACACATGTACAACAATCTACCAAAGTTTCAGCGAATTTGCTTTTGTAGAATGCGAGAACGATGAATTCTTAAAACCGTTTCAGAACTTCTGGAACATCCTTTATATGTCATGTCTATTAAGACAAATCTAAAAATTCATTTGAATAAACTTCCTTAATTATAGTGGCAAAATCATAAAATAGTCACCATTCAAACACTGTCAATAGTTTTCATTAAACCACATTCATACGCTTTGTGCTTATTTGTTTGAACTCGTTTTTATATTAGAATAAAACTTGTGAACTTAACATCCAACTCTTCGATTATCTAAAAGGTAGGTGCAGCCTCAAACCCAGCAAAAGATCAATTGCTGGATCTGTCTCTACAAGCCGATATGTTAAGAAGAAATCATTCGTTTAAGTTAATATTTTCAGAATATTATAAGCACCATAATATCTACTACTCTGGAAAGTTTCAAATGGAAATTTCTTATCACTGTCTTTTTTTTCGTAACATCCTATCCTACTCTAAAAATTCAACAAAACGAATATAACTCGAGAAGAAAGATCTAATTGCACGCACTGTTCTACCTCTTTTTTCTACATGACAAGTCCAGCTCATGAGTAAAACATAAGCTCAAAAAGAGAAGATCAGTCGAATGGATTTCCTTGTTAGTTTGCTTGACTTAAAATATTATATGAACAATTGAAATGTAAACATCTATCAAATTTCTTATTGATTGTGATTTATAAACTCTTACTTTAAGATCTCGATGGCACACATACATTTTGTGACAATATTTAAGTGCTTGACATATTTGTCGAAAATATCTTCGTGCTAATGATTCATTAAGACCATTAACATGTTTACTAATATAATCGTACATATCTCCTCCATCAGCTAATTCCAAAATAAGATAAAGTTTATTTGATGTATCAATAACTTCATATAAACGAACAACATTTGGATGTTGAACTAATTTCATACATTCGACTTCTTGCAATAAATGAATTCTAGATATTTCGTCTAATTTTGTTTTATCGATAACTTTAACAGCAACTTCTTTTTGTGTAAAAACATGTCGAGCAATTTTCACAACAGCAAAATGACCTTTACCAATTGTATTACCTATTAATAAATAAATCTTAGGCTTAAAAAAAAATATTCAGTTCATAGTTTACCTAGAGAATAAAGGTCATTAACTAAATTACGCAGATCGGAAAGTTGACGTTCACAAGACATAATTGTTTAAGACGTAATTACATCTTTTATATTTTTGTTTTTTCTATAATTACAAAATAAGAATTGATACAATTTCATTGATGAAATCGAACAAAATAACATAAAACAAAATATTTTAACTTAATTTTTTGGTAAATATAGTCATCAGTAAATGATAAGTCCAAGATGCAAATGCTAGCAATAGACTTTGATTATCCGTCATTCTATTTTACATGCACATGCATGTATAATCATGCAATGTGCGCTGTTAACTAGAGCGACGGAAGTCATAGACTTTATATAGAAATGACATTCATGGCGTGTTTCATCAGAAAGAAAAATAATTATCTCTTTTTTTTTTCTCAATCTAAAATTTAGATATAAGAGAAAAAAAACATGTAATGAATAAATTGTTGTTAATTTATTAGCAGCTCAGAGGCCATGACGATCATCATTATGATCAGTTCATATTATTTATGGAAACGGAGTCTTTTTTTTTCATCATTGCTGCTAAATGTATGACGAATGAGTATTATTAATTGATACGTTATGATTAACTTGTCATTTACTTTTAGAATATGTTATCTTTGAAAATTTTTTTTTTCAAAGGACAGAAAAGGAGCATATGTAATGTTTATACAGTACTAATCTTTATTCCCTTTGACATTCGATGAGCAAACAGATAGGAAAAGATATGCTTCAACCGAGAATCGAACCCCATGGTCAACACTTGTTAGTACCATTAACCAGTGCTCTAACCCTTGCGTTATCGAAACACGATGAACACATTTTTTTCTTTCTGAATGATATTAAATTCAAAGGCGAAGAAAGTAAAAATTATTATTGTATAAACATTGAACAATGTATTATGAATAATCAATCAATATTAGTAATATGAGTCAAATTTGAAATGTTAATTAAAATATATTATCTATCATTTTAACAATCTTTATATTATTTACGTTTTGTTTTTTCATTATCGATATTCGTAGACATTTACGATTTGTTGTTGTATGCAGAATGTCATATATTCTAGTGGTTAATTAGAGAGTTGGTATTATCAGCAGGAGAGAACGAAATAGAACAGCTGCTATTTGGTTTATTTTTATCTTTTTTAAATGCATGCGACATGTATTCGTACAAAAATCTAAAGAAAATTAGAGATGCATTCAGTCGGATTGACATCCTAACACTAATTATTCTATGTAGCTTCAACTACAAGTCAGAAAAATCTGATTCTTTTTACTAGTTATATTACATATAAAATGCTAATCATTTTCTTATTATCTGAACTCTATGTCTTACGCGAAATTGGAGTTATCAAGTATTTTCTTATCACTTACATCAATTCCTACTAAAGAAACGTGAGACAACATCAAGCGCCAGTAACAAAAAATTCTTACCTAGAAATTATTAATTTGGAAGTATTAGCTTATGCATGATTCTGTATGCCTACCAATAGGATATTTGGCCAATTTCATATAGCATAGAGCGGCAGCACCATATGTAATTTTAGTAAATTTTATGAAAGTCATCAATAGCTCCTCTGCATTGACAACCTAAAGCAGCATAAGATTCGTAGGTGTGAAAAATCATACAAAAGCTATGCCTCCTAATTAGTAATTACTAGGTAAGAATTTTCTGTTAATGATACTTCATGTTATCTCGTACTTGTTATTAGAAAATGATGTAAGTGAAAGATTTTCATACAATATACCTTTACCATAATGAAAATAATGAAATACTTGACAATCCCGTTTACTTGTATGGCATAGAGCTCAAAAAATAACAAAAACAATTAGTACTTCTGTATTACATTTAATCTATGTCGAAGATTTTTATTAAAATTGTTGTGCAATATTTTTGCTACCACGAATGCAAAAATATAAAGTTCATATTATATTTGTTCGATCTATTGATTGTTTCATTATCAATTTCAAGTAGTTTTGCATCATTTTCAACTCTTAAGTTTCAAAGCAGTAAGTTTTACCTTAACGATCGTTTTTGATGTCAAATGGATCATCGAGAAGGGCACTTCTCATTTTTTGTTGGCATCTAATGTTTTCGTCGTTTTAAGCCAAAGTTTTTAAAATCGCCGTGAAATTTTGTATAAATTTCTCTATAATACTCAATGAATGTTGTCTCTTTAGTTTTTAAAATCAAACATAACTTTAGCAAACGATTGAGTGCAACTTTCAAAGCTCTTTTGTTTTTCAATTTTATTTCTACACGTTCCCGGTAAAATTTTCTAATAAAACTTCAGTTCACCAGTTTTAATGAACCGTGAAAGTCAAACTGTACATGTGACCGCAAACCAGTCAAAACCGCACTTTTCACCGATGTGTAAAGACACACAATCAGTGTGGTTTTCGCGGTTAATTAAAACCGCGGTTGACCACAGTTTTATCAGAAAACTTTTTTCGTATGTAGTTTGTTTAGTTTTAAAGCACTCGATTGATAGAATTGTTCATTCATGGGTTACGGCTCGCTATCATTAATTAAGTCAATTGCTACAAACTAAACTATAATCATGGAAAAGTTCTCGAGACAATTTGCGCAAATGTAATACTCACAGACATATATACAGGAGAGAAGAAGGGAGACTTCTTCAGTATCCCGAAGTAAGATTGCAGTATCATGTTTCATTCGTACTTCGAACTATTCTAGTTTCGTTTTTTCTCTTTGGGTATATGATAATTTTGAAAGTTCTTCTCAATAATTTATTAAAACTATCTTTAATTTTTAGTGATAAAAAAGACAATATTTGTTGAATAAAATAGATCGATTTTAACAGAATTTCATTACAATTTGAAAAACATCTGATTCTAAGCGATACAGACGCCGGAAGATGCCATTGAAAAGTAAAAGATTGACGAGAAAACGTTGTCAACTAATCGATCGCTTTTGAGTTTGAACTTTGCACATGGTGTAGACTCCGTTGAGATATGAAAAACTCTACAAAGATAAATACTCTTAGACCTTCTGTCTAGAATTATAGACATTTTACTGGAATTTTAACCTATGCCATGAAATATATCAACAAATCAAATGATGCTATTTCAACCTGAGATATTGTCTGAAAGCAGACCTACTTGTGAGTAGGATGTCCTGAAAATTACAGGTCAAAAGCATGTTCCCTTCGCGAAATATTGAACTCCCCCAAACCATTCATATCTGACGAAAGACGCTAAAATTTTTACAGCATTTCATCCGCAAATAGATCTATCGTGGACAAGATCTCAGATTGAAATACTATCATTCGATTTGTTGGTATATACCACATTTTACACTAAAATTTCAATAAAATGCCTATAACTCTACATAGAAAACCTAAAGGAATTTGTCACCTTGGAGTTTTTCGTACCTCACTGGCACTTATCTTATGTATAGAGTCCGAACTCGACAGCAATTGATCAGTTGAAAATGTGCACTCGTGAAAGTAATGTCTATAATTATATTTAATATATTATGTTATTTTTGTTGTTAATAAATTTTTCAGAGCTGTCATTAAGAGATATATATGATGTGAGTAAACTGTTAGAAGAGCAAGTGTCATGAATTTATCATTATTCTATTCAGTTAGATGCCAAATTTGTCTTGTACAGACCTAATACAATAGGTTTTACAATATTCTGATTTTTTTCTACAAGATTGTTCTGCTTGTTTTCGCAATTTCTATACATAGGTCGTTACGACCCTTGTAAAACCTAAGTATATCACGGAAAGACACACAGGATATTTTAAGCATGAAAACGATTCACCATCACACAAAACATAATAATTTCATTTCTCTATATGGCGTGTTTTAAAGAAAACTTACATTTTTTTTTTCTAATGATAGGATTTTCTCAAATTCTAAAATAAAAATTCAATTGTCATCTTGTATTCATAATAACATAATACATACTTAATAATACTAAGCAAATAAAATCATACTCAATTATTTTTTTAATAAAATATTCAATTCTGAAATAGATTTAAAAATCAAATAAAAATATAAATGAACTTTCAATATCAGCTCAGACAGCCAAGACAATCAACATGAAAAAAAAAAATTTTCAGTCGTTTTTAGCGAAACCATGTCTTGTTCTTTCATCATAGCTGTTATATGTATATTCATTAAAGACAACAATATGTATACATTTATATATCTGATCTGTTTTATATTTCTTTTCAATGTTTCAATGGAATGAAAAAAAAATGAATATCTTTTTCTCTATATCACAAAAAATGAACAAAAGACAAAAAAAAAATACCCCTAAGATCCACAAGATGTCCAAGACATACCACCGAGAAGAGAAGTTATATAAAAAAAAAAAAAAAAGAAAGTGTTTATCTGTGAGTCGATTGATTGCGTTTTTTATGGCTAGATCTAGCGTCTCATTCAATAGATAGAAGAAAGACTAAGAAAAGCGAAAAAGTAAAATAAAACAAATGAGTTTAAAATATGAAGAGAGAAAGAGAGAGAAGATAATCAAAATAAACATCGATTTGAATACTCAAGTGTCACAGGTAAGAGAACAAAAAAGAAAGAGAATATTTTTTTTTCTTTTTTTTTTAATTCGATTTTTCTTGTTGAAGTTGTTGAAGACGTTTAAATTCTTTTAATACAGGTAAATTAAGCATTGTATCATTATCAATATAATTCCAGTTAATAGCTTTTGGACACGAAAATTTATTTTGTGTATAAATAATTCGTTGTGGTGTTATAACGACATTAACTGGCCTGAAAAAGAGTAATTCAATCAACAAACATTTTTAAAAAATTCTTAACATACAAATCATGTTCAGTCATAACTGATGCTGGAAGATCATCAAGTAATTGACTTTCATGTACAGTTGTAACAACGAGTGTTCTATCATCACATGCACCCAATTGACGCATCATTGCATATTCAATATCACCATAACCTTTACCTTTACCTAAAATTATATTTTATTTAAATACAAAAAAAAAAGAATTTGCTCGAGATTCTTTTGATGATCAATACTAATATCGACTGGAAATTTTGACTAAACTC